GCCATTGACAACACTTAGATTTAGAATTGGATATCTTCTTTATTATTATTACAAGAATTTATAGACAGTAGAACCTAAAATCTACACAGTGCTTTAGATACTACATATTCACATAAAACCATGCCCTCTAGTAGCTTACATTCGAAGACTCCTAGTGTATGTGCATATTAGGGTCAATTTTGACAGGAGCCAATTAACCTAACAGCATGTCTGGAGTGTGGGAGGAAAAAGGAGTGCACAGAGGAAACCCACGCAGACTCAGGGAGACTATACAAACTGTAGGCATGTAGTAGGAGTCTAGTAATGAAAGGCAAGAAGTGCTAACCGCAATACTAGTAATAGGTTTGGCATGCAAATTGTGGTAATAGCATGTGCCCCTATAACATCCTGTGTTTAAACAAAAGAAAAGCAAGCATGCCAATGATCATCTGTTGATCACACCGTGGCTTCTGCTCCTTCAACAATCTGAATTCTGAGCAGCAAGCTTTCTTTCTCTGAATTATATGTAGTGTGTAGTTACATAGTTAGTCTGGCTGAAAAAAGACAAGTCCATCCAGTTCAACCATTTAAAAAAGTTATGATCCTATACCCACAGTTGATCCAGAGGAAGGCAAAAAAAAACCAACAAAGCATGATCCAATTTGCTCCTGCCGGGAAAAAAAACTCCTTCCTGATCCCCCAAGAGGCAATCGGATATTGCCTGGATCAAAGCCAAGCCAAAAGTTCCATTATTTTACTCCTTTTTCCCCTCTTTCCTTTTTCTCCCTTGTCCATTTAATACATTCAGTGGGGTTATTCACTGTACAACTGTCAACCTACTGAAAAGCTAATACAAAAGGAAGTGACATAAGGACTATGATCCAAGAGTTGCAGCTCTATCTCCCTCCCTTAGTATAACTGATAGCCATGGCTTTGCTGAAAGCTGAATTTTGTGTTTTTATGGGCATCTCTGACCCCAAATTGGATTCTTTTTTTATGAATATGGTGATTGCACTGCAGAATAAGCAGCCAGAAAATGTTGCTTCTAGCACAGCCTTGCCATTCACAGTCAGCAGTAAACACCCATTGGAGGATCAAACCCCTCTTCTGCTTCTGGTCTACTCCTGATCTGCAGCATTGCTTGTAGTCAGTTGAATCACTTTAGGGAGTTGTAGATTATCAAACTGCACTCGTGTCTAACTAACCTTAGACTGGATCTGATTTATGTTAGACTTCTGGCTGGCACTATAAGTTAAAAGAAAGCTTAAATAGATAGTAATTTGATAACTGTTACAAATCAGAGTGACAGAGGTCTCCCAAAGTCTGACAGCTGCTGGCCTGTCAAATCACTTACCTGCTATCCTCTGAATGTGAGGTTGTGCAGAAGCAAAGTAAGTAAAGTGAAATGTAAAGAAGTCATTATTATTATATTAAACATTATATGAATGTTCAGATGTTCAGACTTTATCTAATGCAATTAAAGTAGAGCTATGGGCAAAACCAAAAATTATATATATATATAGTGCAGGCTGTCACTACGGTAGCATTCACACAGCAGTCATCATTTTTCTGTGTCCCCCTGAGTAGTTTTTTCACCTGGTGATCCGACCGCTAAGTCGCCTGTTTTTCAACTTCCTTTAACAGACCAGGCTGTCCAGCAGAAGTGGAAGTTAGTTGCCTGAGGCTCTCAAACAAACCATCAAGCCATGGTGTCACTGATGTGCAGCACCATGGCATCTCCAGATCAAACGGAGGCTAAAATGGCATTTTCCTTGGCTGTCAGGATAGGAGGGTTTAGTTCCACTTTACAAATGTTAGCTGGAGTTTGCCATTGATTTGCTAGTCACCTATGTAAAGTTTATCTAAATCCATCTAATGCTACCCTCTCCACAGGTTGACAATGCTACTGTCCGGTGGTGGCTACTTTCTCACTTCTTTTACCTGCATTCTTACTATCGAAGAAAAAGTGAGACCCCTTTGCTAATGGCTGCAGCATAGTCCTGCCTGGCAGGGAAGGAGACCTGATCTATCTCTGATTAAGTTTCACTTTCACTTACATGTCCCCTGCGACTGGACAGTGAAATGAGTAGCAGCACCACACTGATGAGCATTTCTCCTCGGTGTGGTGCTTTAAAGGATTATACTTCTTTAGTTGAAAAATTACTTGGTGGTAGGCATGCAGAGAAAGATTTGAACTGAATCAGGATTCCCTCCTTCAATGATGTCCTTATTCAATAGAGTTCTTATTCCTATGTGCTAATTGTTGTTCTTGGATTCCAAACAAAATTAATCCTGTGCTTGCCTGCCTTTAGTGTTTGGTTGGTATGTATTATGGATAATGGATGTAATTATGTGATGTGTGATTTAATGAAGTAAGGATTATGGATAATTGGGATGTGGCTGTATTCTTATTTTGGGCTTTTGTTCTTTATTTTCACCTGGTGATCCTGCCTATAACACACTTTTTGTCTGAAAGTGACACTGTTTGTGATTTCAGTGCAGCATAGGCAGAGTGCAAAGGAAGTTAGGAGCACAAAACATTGTTGTCAGGATCAACAGGTATTTTTCTGTACTTGCTGTGCAAAAGACACACAACTTGGGGCATCTATTGAATACAAGTACTGAATTTGTTTTTTTTTTAGTTTACCTAGATATACAGGTGAAACTCAAAAAATTTGAATATTGTGCAAAAGTTCATTTATTTCAATAATGAAACTAAAAAAGGTGAAACTAATATATGAGATAGACTCATTACATGCAAAGCAAGATAGTTCAAGCCATGATTTGTCATAATTGTGATGATTATGGCTTACAGCTCATGAAAACCCCAAATCCACAATCTCAGAAAATTAGAATATTGTGAAAAGGTGCAATATTCTAGGCTCAAAGTGTCCCACTCTAATCAATTAATTAAGCCATAACACCTGCAAAGGGTTCCTGAGCCTTTAAATGGTCTCTCAGTGTGGTTCAGCAGGAATCACAATCATGGGAAGGACTGATGACCTGACAATTGTGCAGAAAACCATCATTGATACCCTCCATAAGGAGGGAAAGCCTCAAAAGGTAATTGCAAAAGAAGTTGGATGTTCCCAAAGTGCTGTATCAAAGCACATTAATAGAAAGTTATGTGGAAGGGAAAAGTGTGGAAGAAAAAGGTGCACAAGCGGCAGGGATGACCGCAGCATCGAGAGGATTGTAAGGAAAAGGCCATTCAAAAGTGTTGGGGACTTTCACAAGGATTGGACTGAAGCTGGAGTCAGTGCATCAAGAGCCACCACACACAGATGGATCCTGGACATGGGCTTCAAACGTCGTATTCCTCTTGTCAAGCCGCTCCTGAACATCAAACAACGTCAGAAGCGTCCTACCTGGGCTAAAGAAAAACAGACCTGCGCTGTTGCTCAGTGGTCCAAAGTCCTCTTTTCTGATGAGAGCAACTTTTGCATCTCATTTGGAAATCAAGGACCCAGAGTATGGAGGAAGAATGGAGAGGCACACACTGCAAGATGCTTGAAGTCCAGTGTGAAGTTTCCACAGTCTGTGTTGATTTGGGGAGCCATGTCATCTGCTGGTGTTGGTCCACTGTGCTTCATTAAGTCCAGGGTCAAACCAGCCATCTACCAGGAGATTTTGGAGCACTTCATGTTTCCTTCCGCAGACGAGCTTTATGGGGATGCTGACTTCATTTTCCAGCAGGACTTTGCACCTGCCCACACTGCCAAAAGCACCAAAACCTGGTTCAATGACCGTGGGATTACTGTGCTTGATTGGCCAGCAAACTCGCCTGACCTGAACCCCATAGAGAATCTATGGGGCATTGCCAAGAGGAAGATGAGAGACCTGAGACCGAACAATGCAGAAGAGCTGAAGGCCGCTATTGAAGCATCCTGGTCTTCCATAACACCTCAACAGTGCCACAGGCTGATAGCTTCCATGCCATGCCACATTGAGGCAGTAATTGCTGCAAAAGGGGCCCAAACCAAGTACTGAGTACATATGCATGCTTATACTTTTCAGAGGTCTGATATTGTTCTATGTACAATCCTTGTTTTATTGATTGCATGTAATATTCTAATTTTCTGAGATTGTGGATTTGGTGTTTTCATGAGCTGTAAGCCATAATCATCTCAATTATGACAAATCACGGCTTGAACTATCTTGCTTTGCAGGCAATAAGTCTATCTCATATATTAGTTTCACCTTTTAAGTTGCATTACTGAAATAAATGAACTTTTGCACGATATTCTAATTTTTTCAGTTTCATCTGTACACATTAAAAAATTAGACCTTATTCACATTGACATACATGCATTTATAGGCGTTTATAGGGTATTCCCCAACACATATAACTGCATGATTTTGGTATATACTCACACTGTGCATTTACCTGTGTGAAAATCATTTGAAATGTGTTATCTATGCTAAGCATTTTAGAAGTAAAAATCTTTAGATGGTTTTTTGCATACCATATACATTTGCACTACGGGTATGGTAAATCTTAAAATTTTGCTGATTCTGATCACACCTATTTTTTTCTGTTTTATCTTTCTTTTTAGAATTCCATCAGACATAACCTTTCTCTCCACACACGTTTCATTCGTGTTCAGAATGAGGGAACTGGAAAAAGTTCTTGGTGGATGCTAAATCCCGAAGGTGGAAAGACTGGAAAAACTCCACGTAGGAGAGCAGCATCAATGGACAGTGCAAGTGGAAAGTTTCTAAGAATAAAAGGCAAAGCTGGAAAGAAGAAACAGCAAGTACAAACTGCACCAGAGCAGACAGAAGGCAGTCCTGTTTCCCAACAGGCAAAATGGTCTGAAAGTCCAGCTTCTCATACAAGTGATGATTTTGAGGTATGGGCAGAGTTCCATAATCGAGCTAATCCTGTGGCAGGAAACATGAGTGGAAGACTTTCACCTATCTTGGGTAATGATGAACCTGATGAACTGGAGGATGATGACGTGGCACCCTCATCACCTCTTATGTATCCAAGCCCATCTAGTGCTCTGTCGCCCAGTGCTCATTGTTCAGTTGAAATGCCAAGGCTTGCAGAAATGAATGGTTCTATTGGTCTGAGTGAGGGGCTTTCAGATCATTTATTAGATGAGTTGCAGGATGGTTACAGTGTAAACTCTGCTACTTCCTTGCGCCAACGGAGCCCTGGGTTCTCCTTCACCTCCAAGTGCCCACCATTAAGCAACACGTCAAATGCATTTTGCGGCACCATTTACAGTCAACCAACAATGGGCATGATGAGAAGATTACCAATGCAGACAATCCAAGAGAACAAACAAGCTACTTTCTCACCTGGAAGTACTTACAGGAATTCTTCCCTCCAGGATCTTCTAACATCAATGTCCTATGGACATAAAGAAGCCATTTCGCAGACTGATCCAGGTTTAGCTTCTACGATGGGGCCACAACGCAATCACAGGCAGAACACAGGCATGCTCAACAACAACTGTGACTCAGGGTCGATACCCTACTCTACCACTTTAATAAAGAGCCACAATTTGTACCACCCATCCACTCTAAACCATCATTGCTCTGTTAATAACAGTGCCTTAGCTAGCTTAAGTGGACTGGTAAATTCAGAATCATGCAGTTTGTCCTCCGTTCCACATCATTCCTATTTCAGTAGTCAAAGTGGGCATGGAAACTTGCTGGAAGGGCCATACCAAGGTGTGTATCACCATCACCATCACCACCACCATCATCCCCAAGTTTGCAACCAAGACAGATTTCCACCAGATTTAGACCTGGACATGTTTAGTGGTACTTTAGAGTGTGATGTTGAATCCATTATCCTCAACGACTTCATGGACAATGATGAGATGGATTTTAATTTTGACTCTGCGCTACCACCACAAGGTGGGTTTACCATGGCTGCTGCAGCACAGCCAAATCAAAGCTGGGTACAAGGTTAAATTGTAACCAAGGTCAGGTCGTAATGTAAGCTGTTTCCCGAAGGCAATCAAACAGATGTTTAGCTTAACTAGATATTTATTTGATATACAATGTTGGTTTGGTTGGAACTTTTCCGCAAAATATGAAAGACCTAGGTTTCTAGAAATGTCTCTTGTTGGATAAGGTTGTGGCTTCAATATTCTATATTATGGCTGTTAGTTGAAATCCCATTTAGTTTTAATAGCAGAGCAAAAAATTAACCTTCCCTAAAATGTGGAAAGAGCTATAAGAAATTGCCTTTAAGACCATTGTCCTTCTAAGGGGTTTGATAACTTATGTGATACGTTTATTATTATTTTTTTCTTCTTTTCATAAAGGTGAAAGCTATCCATGTTCCCAAGTTTAGTCTGAGTGTGATCATTAGGGTGTCTCCTCTTGTTTCAGAAATAAAACCTGAGCGGCAAAGTTCAAATGTAGTCACCTTTTTAATGCCCTCACCTTATTTAACACAGTAGCATTATGTTATTTTACCACAAAATTAAAAGAACAGCCCACATTTTTTTTACAATGAAAGATAATATGATTTCTAAATTTCAAAGTAATCTTGTGCATTTAGCTACAAATTATATTGGCCAATAATACCCAAACTGACAGGTCATGTTTTTCAAGCGTCTTCGGCAGTATAGTTCTTTTAAATAGTTATTAATTAGTACACCTGCTAGAGGCACAGTAAGTCTGAAAAACATGACCTGCTTTGTTGTCAATGAGGACCAGAATTTGGGAACACTTCAGTAAGATATCTCCTTGCCATCCACACTATTCACAAAAGAAAGAATCACTTTTTTAATAAGATAACATGGATCCAGACCATTTTATGAACTAACCGTTCTAAACTGGATCTTAAGGGTGCCTTAGACTCAACATTTTAGTAATGTGACAAAACATTAAAGACAAATGCACTTATGAGAAGGTTGTTCCTGGAAGTAGAGAAATCTAAAGAACCAAAGATTGTGTGGTCATGTGACTGCCATATTAACTGTTAACAATGTCAGAGATGATTGGTAATACCATTTTCTGTTAAAGGGTTTCATTTGGAAAATTTTGTTTCATAAGAACTGTGGGGTTTATTTACTAAAGTGGTTTCACTCAGAATCTTGTGCACGTCTGCATGGAAACCAATCAGGTTTTATTGCTAAAGTTTAATTGATCAAGCTGAGGTTAGAAGCTGATTGGCTACCATGTACAGGTGCACCAGATTCTGATTGAACCAGCTTTAGTAAATCTCCCCCTGTGCTCCCACCTAAGATTCAAATATACAGATGCCAACTGTCAGTTGTTATCTGAAAATATTAATACTGTTAACTGTGTGTCTACACAGTTTTTATTTAGGGGTCTTTCTTTCAGAGTACAGCATTGCTTACTTTTAAAGTTGACCCCAGCCAGATATAAAAACAATAATTTAATCCAGTTTATGTATTTATTAAAACCTAGAAATAATATATATATATATATATATATATATATGTATATGTACACACAGTATATTTAAATTTGGCATGTTTAGGTACTTGAATCTCTTTTTAGGTTAGCCTCCTTTAATTTCTTGCAATGCTGGAAAGAGAGGGGTATCATTGGTCTACTGCATTGCTCAGTGCAGGAGCTTGTTTGCAGGAGGAGAATACAGATTGAAGACCTCTTCAGTGTGCTGATTCTTCATTATTCTGTCAGTAGACTGGGGAAAGGCCAGTGACTAAGCTGTTTTGCATAAATGCAGTTGAGTGAGGTCACTGAACTGGCTGTACTGTCTCAAGTGTTGTTGGAATCACAAGACCAACGGAACAGGTAAAACTGTTCACATACTGTATGAGCTCTTTTAAGTCATCCCAGCAATCAATTCTTTTAAAGGAGCATGTTGCTCACTTATTAAGAAAGTCATCTCTGAACACTGTGACTAATAATATGCAAGATTTTATTTAAAGTTTTAGTCCACCCAAAAGTAATATTATGGTTATGAATGGAGTTTGGTAGACTGAGTCAACTGCTGCAACTGCTCCAATTTCTCTCTTGGTGACATTAAAGGTGGGATTTCTCGGCCATATATCCTTTATTCTGTTGTTGACCTCCATTAAGTTTTGAGTGCTGTTTTGTCCATTTTGGGATGCTACATCTACATAATATACTGTATAATAAACTATTCAACAAGCAGAATGTCACAACAGTCATGGTAGATGAACAGATCTCAAGGACAGAGAATTTTCCCACCAGAGTCCCCTGGAGATAAATGAAAGTGACCAACGACCCCAGATAATGAAATATCAGTTTTCAGGGGGAGCAAAGAGGACCAATATTCTCCACCCGCCTTTTCAGATGAGTGAGAAACCATGAAGGCCGTTCAGTCAGATATTTGCTAAAGAAATGGTAAAACCTTCAGATGGAGAAAAACTAGTGGGTTGAATAGTAAGGCTGCTGGACAAGAGGGGGTCTTCTCATCTGTCAAAATTGGAGATTTAGTCACTGTATCCACAATAAGGTTAAGCTTGCTAATTACTAATAGTTTCTGCTATTTGATTGAATTGAAACATTGTGCGATCACGGGAGATCAATTGCACTACTAAACATCTCTTCTGTAGCAACTCACCTTTAAAATAATGTTACAATGAAGCTCAAAGACCTACAAAAGAGGTAGTGGTGGAATTCAGAGGGTCTAATTCATAAAAGATGCAGATTCCCTGTTTTTATTTTTCCACTACTGGTTTGAGAGTGAAAATGAGATTGGCTGTGGACAACATCTCTATTTATATTCTAGTTTCAAACCTTCTAGCCTTGGTCTGTCCTACCAAAAGTAATGTTTCAAATGTAGGTAGAGCCTGGTATACTGAGACATTCAAATGGTTCCTGGAGTTTTCTCAAATCAAGTCCTAGAGAATGGTCAAAGATTGCTATTACTAAACACTGATTAAAGTTAGAATTGCCAGGAATAGGAATTACTTGTCACCATATCAAAATCTTAAACTTGGAGAATTTACATACATAAAATCCATGGAAGCTCCCGTATGTGTTTTAAACTTTTTTTGCAAAAAAATTGTAATAAACTATAAAATGTCAGACTTTGGATGCAGTATAATTACCATCAGACAAAACTATACTTAAGATTTTACTAAAATGGTTAATACGGCTAAAAGTATATACTATGAATGATATAAAATTGAAAATTGGTACTTATAAGTGACAATGAGGTCATTAGAGACAAGTGTAGTAGCCCATAGCAACCAGTCAACTTTTTTTTGGTTCTAACTTCCTGAAAGCTAATCTAAACCCAAAAGCAAACAAAAGCAAGTTTGCAGCTTACCAGTTCTTAACTTTGGTGGCTGCATTCATTTTTATTTCTCTGGATTCTTTTTTCCTTTATTTTCAACTGGTAATGCTGCAAATAACACACGTCTTGTCCTCTGTTGGCTACACTCATTCCTCAACTGTGTCACTGGAGGGATCCTTGGTTGTTGTCCAGACTATAATTCAATCATATCTGCCATTCACCTCTATTACAGTGGAGGTGGGGTATTAGTAGTTTGAAGAAGGAAGATAACATTGTTTGTTCTGTTAGTTCCACTCACAGGAAGTGACAAAGACAAGATAAGATCAACAGGTATTTTCTTTATTTGCTTAAAAATATTCTTGGCTTAAAAAATTAAAACTGCAGCTTCCATATCGAATGACTAGTAAACTGTGTTGTTGTTGGGTTTAGATATCTTTTAAACAAAAAGATGATGAAATCTATTTGCTGCACTGCCTTGTCTTATTGACCCCATTGTTCCAAATTTTATATTTTTTCTCATTTTAAATGTATTTATGTATAGTCTTGAGCAACAATTATTCTTTAGATTTAAATATGTTGTCAAAACTGCTTAGGTCATAATCGCTGCTCTTAACTAAATTTAACCCAATTGCCATTGAACGGAAGTTGACTTTACAACTTAGCAATGTTTAGTAATCTTAAAGTACTCATTTTGTATAAATTTCCTATATATTCCTATTCTTATATTCTACAAAAAAGGCAAAAGGATTTCAAGATATTTAAAGCACTTGTTCTTCCAAAGAGCACAAGCCGTCAAGGGAGATCGCCCTTATTTGCCATAACAAAAAAAAGGGCATTTTTATAGATAAAAATGCAGTGTTTTGTACAATGGTGCTAACTAAAGGGTTACGATTTTATGTGGTATTTACTACATATAAACTGCAATCAGTCTGAATTGTTCACACTAGATGGGTTTTTGCATTGCCATACAAGTCTATGGGAATGCAGAACTCATTTGAAGCAGGTCGGGAGGTCAACACCAGGTCATTCGGACCTGTCCATGAATTTTAAATTCTCTCAGAAGTGTCTCAGACTGATACTGTCAACTCAATCCCTAAGCCAATTAACACAAGCCCTAGTACTTATTGATGCAGAAAAAATTTTGGGAAAGGCTCAATTTTTTAAAACATTGTTTAATGTAGTGACTTTTAAAATGGTGTTATCTGTTTTGTAATGTGCGTTCAGATCATGTATGAAATTGGGAATTCAAACAAAAGGACACCGCACAGTCTCATTTACCAGCTTAACCCAACTCTAACTCTGGGTTACTTTGAATTGCACCAAAAACAAGAAAGTATCAAAATGGTATGGTGCTGAAACATTAGCTCATAGTAGTGCAATTGTATATTTTATAAATTTATTTCTATGGAAAAGGTTTGCATAAAGTTCAGATAGATCTCATGTAAAAGTTAGTGTATTGATGTTACTGGTTATTTGTTTTTCACGCACAAAGTGAATACAGCCAACCTATAAGCTGGCCTTAAGATTAAATTATCCCCTTTCTCCAATAACATAAAATAAACAACACTCCAAAATCCACCGTATTAAAGCTAAAAAATGAAAATATGTATTTTGCCTCTGTTTAGAAACCTAAATAATATTGTAAGCCCTAAAAACTCATTACCTGTCACCACCTTAGTAAGTTGGGGGTTATTTTATAAGACT